CAAACAGAAAGGACTGCAGAGATGTGAGTGGTGAAACCGACTACCTTCTCCAGCGATCTCTCAGGAGGTGAAGTGTCCTTCCCTGGGACCCATAAGTTGGTGAGATCAGAAGGACATTGGGATATACTGGTAGGCACCAGTATAGAGGTTCTTGGAAATGCTGAGAAGGGACCCCATGAATCAAAAAGGCCTTCCTATTTATCAGCAAGTGGGGAGACGGAGCACTGAGATTTGTCTCTCCTCTAAATATGACCTACTTGGTTTGTTTCCCTGGACTGGTTAGGCCATTATTTAGCTGTTGCAGAGATATATAGGCATATGTATATGCATAATATATGTATATGTGTATGTGTGTATCTGAATCCTGAAAAGAACTCTGCAAAGTAATATCTCTGTTTCACAAGGGAACACACACAAACTGAAAGAGGTTAGGCCACTTGTCCGAGTTCACACAGCTAATAAGTAACAGAGTCAGCTTAAACCCACAACTGCTTAATTCCAAAGCCTATGCTATGTGGCTAAAAATTCTAGGTCATGACTGGGAAATATTTCAAATAAATACAAAAGTAGACAGGATAGAATAATTACCCTTTGTGTACCCATTCTGCAGATTCAACAATTATCAACCTATGGCCCATCTCCTTTCATCTATACCGTCACCCACTAAACCTACCTTAGCATTGTTTTGAAGCATATCCCAGATACCATAGACATTTCTTTCATAAATATTTTAGTCTGAGTCTCCAAAAGACGAGGACTTGAAATAATTTATTTCCTTTTTTCCTCTTTACGTTAAAATATCCCAAATAAATAGATTTCACTGGGTCAGTAAAGTAGCTCTGTTCTCCCCAGGAATGTCCCAAACTGGACCCCAAATTATTTTACTAAGACACGTTCTTTTTTTTTTTTTTTTTTTTTGCGGTACACGGGCCTCTCACTGTTGTGGCCTCTCCCGTTGCGGAGCACAGGCTCTGGACGCGCAGGCTCAGCGGCCATGGCTCACGGGCCCAGCCGCTCCGCGGCATGTGGGATCTTCCCGGACCGGGGCACGAACCCGTGTCCCCTGCATCGGCAGGCAGACTCTCAACCACTGCGCCACCAGGGAAGCCCAGACACGTTCTTTTTGAGGTATTAGTCTTGCTAGAGTCCTTTGGTCACCCAAAGATCCCCTTATGAATACTGATGTTCACTCTTATCTCCTATTGTGCTTTCTGAAAAAGATGTTAGAATATAGCTTCCTCTATGAAAATGGGAGAGGAATAAAAAAAATAAATCTAAGGTTCTCAGGAACACCAGTCAGAAAGCAATAGGGTGAGACTGTCAATTCAACAAGTCCACTGGGTGCTCACTCAATGTTTTAAATAGACCCTGTAGGGAGTACAAAAATAAATAAGTAAATAGGCATTCAACAAATATTAATAGAGCAGCTACTGCATACCAAATCTATTCAGGTTGCTAGATGCACATTGGTTAATGGCCAAAGGCACTCTACACCAAGTTAATAATCTGATACAGGAACATGTTAAGAAAGCAAAGAACTATAATGTAACCAAAATATAGACGGGAGGAGCACAGAGTTACTGGGGTCTAAAAGAAAAGAGTGAACTTATTCTTTTCCTGAGTGCTACGGTTGAGAAATGCGGAAAATGAGGCCTGAATGACAAGACTTTTCCATAGTAGCAGAGAGGTCGAACCAGGGAAAACCCTCACCTCTCGACTTTCTAATCCATTACGATTTCCATCTCAAGAAGGACTAGAGATGCTTGACGGTAAACATTTCTCGCTACCACAAAAGGTTTTATGGAACACTTGGTTTTTGGAATGGGCCTTGATAGTCAAATAGAATTTGACAAGTGGAGAAGTAGAAGTGTTCTGGGCAGAGAAAACAGCATAAACAGCTTTGTGTCACATATTCCAACGATACAGACCACCTGGTTTGGCTGACATTTAGGGACAATTATAAGGCATGGATGGGGAAAGGATGGAAAGGTAGGTTGCAACCAGATTAGAGAAGAGCTTGAATACCAGGGCAAGTTGTTTGTTTTGAAGGCCCTCAAGAGTGATGAAATTCCAAGAGTTTGAAGCCAAAGAGTTAGGAAAACACAACGATTTATGGGTCACTGGGACGAACACGGATTATATGCTTTGTCATTTTAATTTCATGTTTCATCCTAATTCTTATGAACGAGAATGCATAGATAAACATTATCTAAGGAGAGAGTTCTATTTGTTTAAGAGATGGGTGGGGGGCATGAAGGGGTAGAAGGTGGGGATTTACTCAAGGGACAGGCATGAGGGAGTCAACAGGCTGCCCGGATTCCTCAGTGAAGCAGAGGAAAAGTGAAACGGTGGACATTGGTGGGGAGAGCCATAGAGTGCAGCTGACAGATTAGTTCCTGGGGCCTATGGAAGAAATGGCACGGAGGCAGCAGGAAAACCTTCAGGGAATCTATACATTTCTGCAGGAGCATTTAACAGGAGTTTGTCTTGTGATCTCTGTTCGCTCCTACTTCATGGGTGTCGAGACAAAATAATTCGGTCACATATCCTAATGAGAGTGGATTAGGAGCTCCTTTTAGATACAAAAGGGAGCAAATTTATTTTGTAGCCAAAAAACTACTTTCAAGGTAACTAGGAGTAGTTATTATGATTGAAACGTCTAAATTCAGTGTTCTCAGAGGAGTTGTAAGAAGGGATTCATCTTTGAAGCTATACAAACTTGAATTTGAATCCCAGGTTTGCTACTTACTAGTTGAGTGATCCTGGTTGAGTTATTTAACCTCTCTGAACTTCAGTTGCCTCATCTGTAGAAGCAGAGAATACTTACCATTCAAAGTTGTAGAGAGAATTAATAACATGGCACGTGGAAATGTTTTCCTACAAAGTACCTGGTACACAACTGATGTTGGTTCCTTCCCCTTTCTTGGTGAAATCAGTACCAGATAAAAGGGAAATTACTAACAACCAAACATCCTGTAAGCTTCCAAGTTCAACTTCCTTTATTAAAACTTTACAAGAACTGCTAAGGAATAGCAAAATAGATTCATTTCCTTTTCTTTCCTTTTCTCAGCTATTCAATAGGATGGGGTACTAAGGAATGGAAAAATGTGAGATACATACACTTAAAAGAATAAGAACAACTCATATAAATCAATTTTTTTAACTCATTTTTTAAAATGGACAAAAGATCTGGGTAGACATATCTCTAAAGAAGATATACATATGGCCAATGAGTGCATGAAAAATGCTAAACATCATTTGTCATTAAGGAAATGCATATCAAAACCACAAGATACCAATCTACATCCACTAAGATGCCTATAACCAAAAAGATAGACAACAAATAATAGATACATGTATATATATAACTGAATCACTTTGCTGTACACCTGAAACTAACACAACATTGTTAATCAACTATGCTCCAATATAAAATAGAAATTAAAAAATCAAATTTAATTTAATTAAGAAAAAGACAGACAAGTGTTGACAAGGATGTAGAGAAAATGAAATCCTCATACATTACTGGTGGGAATGTAAAATGGTGTAGCTGCTTTGAAAATCTGTTTTGCAGTTCCTCAAAGTGTTAAACATAGAGTGACCATATGATGCAATAATTCTACTCCTAAATATATACCCCAAAGAACTGAAAACATATGTTTACACAAAATGTTTTACACTAATGTTCTTAGTGGCATTATTCATGGTAGCCAAAAAGTAGAAACAACCCAAGTGCTTATCGGTGGTGAATGGATAAACAAAAGGTGGTATATTCATACACTGGAGTATTATCCAGTCATAAAGAGGAATGAAGCACTGATAACATGCTACAACACGGATGAACCTTGAAAACATATTAAGAAAAGAAGCCAGTCACAAGAGGTCCGTATTGTATTATTCCATTTATATGAGATATCCAGAATAGGCCAGACTATAGAGGCAGAAGGCAGATTAGTGGCTGCCCAGGGTGGAGTGGGGTGGCGGATAGGGGTAGACTGCTAATAGGTGTGAGGCTTCTTTCTAAGGGGATCAAAATGTCCTAAAGTTGATTGTGGTGATGGCTGCACAACTCTGAATATTTTTAAAAACATTTAATTGAACAATTTAAATTGATGAATTGTTTGGTAGGAGAATTATATCACAATAAACCTTTTTTATTTTTATTTTATTTTATTTTATTTTTGCGGTACGCGGGCCTCTCACTGCTGTGGCCTCTCCCGTTGCGGAGCACAGGCTCCGGACGCGCAGGCTCAGCGGCCATGGCTCACGGGCCCAGCCGCTCCGCGGCATGTGGGATCTTCCCGGACCGGGGCACGAACCCGTGTCCCCTAGGTGGACTCTCAACCACTGCGCCACCAGGGAAGCCCAATAAACCTTTTTTTAAAAAAGGAAGAGTGATGGATTTCCAGATTCTGGAACAGAATGGTCTGCTCCATTTGACTGAGAAGATCACGTTCCCTCAGGCTCAGGCTGCTGACCAAGGAAAGTGCTCCAGGCACATCTCCACGACCTGGGGTGTTTGCCTAAGTGCCCTCAGCTACTCAGTATTCTCTTCTTGGGTAGAGAAGTACTCTTAGCACCTAACTGCAGCAACGGGTACTCCTTGGGCATTGCCCTACTCTGTACAGCAAAGTACCAGCACCTCAAAGATTATCTAGCCTTGACCTCGATTCTTAGACAGTCAATGAGACCTGAGACTCCTGATAGCCAATAGTGAATTTAAGTCCCAAACCAGCCTGCCTTTCAAACAAAAAGTTCAGCACACTTCATCAAAATCTCCGTTTGGTTACATATCCTTGAGTTTATACTATAGAAGGGGTAGAAATCCCCCCAGACGCCGTCAAATGTTGACATTTCTCATGCATCTGAATTCTGTGGTATAAGATTTGTACTTGCCATAAGAGTCTCTATAATACTTAAACAAAACAAAACAACACCACAGAAGAGGGTCAGGATATGGTAGAGCTAAAAATGAAGTTGAAATATAGTCCAATACTCACTTCCATACTTAGGTCATTATTCATCCTGATGCAACCTGAAAGATCTGTTCCTGGGTGGGGACCACCTGTAGGGTCTGGACACCTAATAATAGACAGTAAAGTTCCTTAATACAGGTGGGAAAACTGCAAATTTCAGCAGATACCAATCTATCACATAGTTCCCCTTCCCTGCCCCAATTTTACCGAATTTCTAATTAAGTTCAGGTCTTAACTGAGACATGATGAAAGAGAGCTCTAAGCTCCATCAGAGAGAGAGGTTATAACCATAGAGAATCTAGTCCCAAATGAAAATGAAGTATTTGCAATTCAGAGTCTTGCTTCCTGACCCTCAATACAGAAAGGAAATTTCATTGGGGTGAACAGTGCTCACAAACTCCACTGACATTTCTGAACTTTTCCTAAGGAAGAAACGTCTGTGTACTTAGAAAGGTGAGTGAGCTCAGATGAGCTTTGGGAGAGGGTATGTGCGAGCACAGGGATAGAGTCCCAAAGACTTGGTCACCTGGAGTGTGAAGGAATAGAAAGATGATCAAAACCTAGCTGAATGAGTTAACCTAACAGTACATAGTATATTCCTAAAAACTGGGAAACATTTTAAGTAGCCTAATTTGTCTTTTACACTTTAGAATGGAAATCATGAAATTCAAAAGAGCTATAGAGAAAACTATAAAGGTATCTTTGTTTTAAAGTTGTCAATTTTCAGAAAGTTAGAGAAGTCACATAATAAAAATTCCACAGTAAAGATGTCATGATGTCAAGATATGAAACTTTTACTGATTAAAAGTTTAGGCAATAGGAATAGGCCACCCACGAAAAGTAGGCCAAGTGTATTTTGCCCTTTTAACTTACTTGTGCCTTCCAGTCACATCCAAAGCACCATCCTCTACTTCTCCATATTTGGGCCTTTCACATGAAGCATGGATTCGGTTGGCTACACATGAGAAAGGTGTCAATTCTAGTCTTGAAATTGCTGTAAGACTATCCAGATACAAGGCGTCTGCAGTAGAACAGAAAAGAATAAATATAGAAATTAATGGTTCAAATTATATATATATATATATATATACTATTTCTTTTCCTCTTGGGAGATTAGACCATTTCTGAAAAAACAAAAGTCAGTTCAATTCAATTAACATTTTTTTTTAATTTTTGGATTTTATTTTATTTATTTTTTTATACAGCAGGTTCTTATTAGTCATCCATTTTATACACATCAGTGTATACATGTCAATCCCAATCGCCCAATTCATCACACCACCACCCCCCCCGGCCGCTTTTCCCCCTTGCTGTCCATACGTTTGTTCTCTACATCTGTGTCTCAATTTCTGCCCTGCAAACTGGTTCATCTATACCATTTTTCTAGGTTCCACATATATGCGTTAACATACGATATTTGTTTTTCTCTTTCTGACTTACTTCACTCTGTATGACAGTCTCTAGATCCATCCACGTCTCAACAAATGACCCAATTTTGTTCCTTTTTATGGCTGAGTAATATTCCATTGTATATATGTTACCACATCTTCTTTATCTATTCAATTAACATTTTAACATTACAACGCCCCACCCCCTAAATTTTGATGCCCAGTTATGAGGGGTAGAAATGTCAGTTATTTTTTTAAGCAGGTGGTAGGGGTGAAGGAGGAGAAACAGAAACCCTTACCTAGTAAGCACTAGAGGGGTCAATAATCTGCTGCCAGGGGGCAAAATCCAGCCAGCCTCCTGTTTTTGTAAATAAAGTTTTATTGGAACACAGACACACCCATTCATTCAGTATCATCCAAGGTTGCTTGTGGGCTACAACAGCAAAGCTGAGTAGTTGCTGCAGAAACCGTACAGCCTGCAAAACCTCAAATATTTACTATCCGGCCCTTTACAGAAACAGTTTATCAACTCCTAAAGAGAAAAACAGTTCGACGTTGTAATTGTAAACCACTGAAGAGTGCAGGAAATAGGGTGACAATTTTTTTTTTTTGAGGAAACTGTCTTGTCACGTTTTTCTGAGTATAGGAAGCAGCAGAATTTAATAGAAAAAACATAGGCTTTGAAATTAATCACAATTTTTAGTTCAAATCCTGACCCTGACACATAAGCCAGGTGTGTGATCTTGGATAAATAACTAAACCAACTCAGCCTCAGTTTACTTACATATAAAGTGCCACATGGGGACTTCCCTGGTGGTCCAGTGGTTAAGAATCCACCTTCCAATGCAGGGGACTCGGGTTTGATCCCTACTTGGGGAACAAAGATCCCACATGCCTCGGGGCAACTAAGCCCGTGCGCTGCAACTACTGAGCCCACGCGCCACAACTAAAGGGAAGCCCACGTGCCAAAATGAAGTGTCCGCGCGCTGCAACGAAAGATCCTGCTTGCCACAACTAAGACCCAATGCAGCCAAAAATAAATAAATAAAATTTTTTAAGTGCCACATGACCTTAGGCAAATTATTCAGTGTTCCTGCTAACTTATCTTTAAAATGTGAATTACATTAGCATCTACCTCACAGGGATATGGTGAGGATTAAATGAATTAACAGGTACATGAACACACAGTTCTGCAAATTACTCAGTGTTCCTGCTTTCTTATCTTTAAAATGTGAATTACATTAGCATCTACCTCACAGGGATATGGTGAGGGTTAAATGAATTAACAGGTACGTGAACATACAGTTCTGAGAGCAGAGAACTGTTCCTGGCACATAGCGGGCACTCTTTCAGTGCTGCCATAGTATCGTTACCATCACTGAGTTAGTGTGGGTAAAATCGTCTCTATAAAGCACTTATCTACTGTCTGACACAAACCGGCCACTTGTTAGTACTGGTAGCAGTTTTCTCTCTTCTAGTTGAAATGATCCACAAGTCACTCTACTTGCTTCTTATTCCTTCTTAGATTTATTTTGATAATCATCCCATTTCTTTTGTCATTTCGGAACCAACCATTAACTTTTGCTTTCAAGCACATCCAGGTTGTGATGAGAGATGCCACCACTTTCAGCATTTCCTAAGATAAAGTTCATTCTTCTTAGACTGGCACTAAGTAATAGTCCATGAGGTGACCTACAGCATGCTCCAAACTTAAATTCTACTCCATCCTGACCCAAGCCCTCTTATCTCCACAGTGACTTATCCAGCATGGACTCTTCTCCAAACACTTAAAACGTTTGCATTTTTTTCCCCCCTCATGTCATTCTCCCCAGCTGGAATACTTTTTCCATGCTTTTTGCTTTTCCAAATGCAGCCCGTCTTTCCATGCCTGGTTCAACACTCATTTCTTCTACAGAGCCTTCTCTGAACCCAGGTCTTACTTCCTTAATAATCTGTGAGCTACTTTAGGACTCACCCTCTAGTATACATAAAATAGTGCCTTGCACAGAGTAGGTGGTCAAATATAAGTTGACTGACTGAATTCAGGGATAAACATCTAAGTTTTCAACATTTGCTATATAATTGTGATTAATTATTTTCCCTCTCAAGAAGAACCCCACCCCCAGCTGTGTCTGACAGGGTATAGGAAAGGGTCTATCCATGCTTACCCAGCAGAGGTGTGTACCAGCATGTATGTTTGAAGGTCAGGGGTAGCTGATGTATTCTTGCTTCTTGACCACTATATCGTTTATGGCAACACTGCTTCTGAACAGAAAATCAAGTACTATTAGCTTTCCAAAGGGCTGTAATATATTTCATAATCTCTCTTCATCTCCAAAATTAGAAAGAATATCACTGTTCTCCCGCAAGAGAGTTTGAGAAGAAAATAAATGACATCAAGTAACAAAGTTTTCATGCTTTGGATCAAAAGGTACACACCTTATAAGTAAAAATGTAATTCTTATTAAAAATCACTCTTCAATAATTTAACAGAAAGATAACATCAATTCCCAATAATCAACACTTTCATATAAACAAAGGCTTTGAGGAAAGAAATATGAGTGAGGGGCAAGTTTAGCTATATAATTCTTCTTCATGATACCGCAATCAAAAAGTTTTAAATAGTACCATTTCCTAGGGCCTATCAAAATTGTGTGTGTGCACATGATAAAGAAAAAAATAGGTATCTTGCTTTGTCTGATACCCTCTCAAGAAAATCAGTATAGCTTAGAATTCTAACTTTCTAATACACATTGGACTTAACTTTCTATTTTGGCATAGTAGTAGATTCACAATTGGCACTTAAATAGTTTCAAAAAGCTTAAACTCACCAACTGTTCCTGGAGAGGTTGATGAATTCTATCTGTGCAGGACAAGGGATCGTAGTGAGGAAATTCCTCATCTAAACCGCTCTGTCATGAGAAAAATGGTGGAGTGCATTCAAAGACAGAATGATGGGAGAGTGACAGATACAAAATACATTAGATTTAAGATGTGATGCTACCTGAGAAGGAGAAAATGGACTAGTTCTTTATCTTGTATTTTTCATTAAGGGAACAAGTTTGTAATGGTAAACCTCTCACTGCATTTTCCCCATTACTTGTTCTAGGAATGAAATCCAAAGATCAGGAACAGGAAACTGAATGGCTTTGTCACTGAAATCTTCAAGCAGAGACCAAAGAAGCTTGTTGGAGACATAACTCAGAGAGTGAAAATGCTGTCTGTGAAATTTCTACAGCAATAAAATTGCGACTTTTGTCCAAGAGGTAGATACATGTCTATCAGTTACATTATAATAGAAAATTGGTGTTCTTGAGATGATTATGGAGATTTTTCCAGTTCAACTTATTGTAAGGGGATTTTTAGGCACTCTGCCTAGCTTAATCTCCTACATGAATTTTTTTTTTCTCCTTAAACAGATGTGCCTGCATTATGCCCTAGAAACAGATACATGCAAATATCACCCTTCTCTCTTTCCTCCTCCAGCCCCTTCCCTCCAGTGCCAACCTTGCTGTTCCTTATGTTCTTTATTTATGAACAGAAAGGAGAAATTCACCAAGTGTCAAAAGGGAAAGAAATACATTTAACTGTACCATGGATATCTTGAGATATCCAGACAGAGAGGAGTTGAAAGTTTAATTCAAATAGGAGAGAAAAGAGACAGCAACCATCAAAGCCCACTCAAGAGTCTCAGAAAGGAGGTGCCTAAGACTAGCAAACTGGCCCTTTGCTAACAGATACAGGTCTGAAATGCTTCCTCTCTGAAAGATGTTATTAGGAGCCACGCACTCATGTGCATTCTCCCCTCCTGTTTTGCTAAATGCTTTCAGTGCCTAAGAAAACAAAGTCTACCAGAGCATCTTTTCTAACTTGATTATTTAATTTTATGGCTAAAATTATTATATATTATAACTTAGCTTCAAAATCTTAACACCAACTGGACAACTTCCCCACAGTAAACACATATCACAGAGGTTTGGGTCTTTTTGTTTGCTTTTTACCTGAAACAGCAAGCCATGGAGTTGTCCTTTAATTAACTTCTTTCTTAGTGACTCAATTGTTGCTATAAAGAGAATTTATAACCAGCTTAATATGACAATTCGTAACCCCCTTTTCCCTTAGTTCATTTTGTAAACTTTTTTTCCTAAAGATTTTTTGATGTGGAAAGATTTTTTCATGTTGACCATTTTTAAAGTCTTTATTGAATTTGTTACAATATTGCTTCTGTTTTGGTTTTTTGGCCCCAAGACATGTGGGATCTTAGCTCCCCGACCAGGGATCGAACCCGAACCCCCTGCACTGGAAGATGAAGTCTTAACCACTGGACCGCCAGGGAAGTCCCATTTCATAAACTTTTAACAGCTTTCAATTTGAGGCCTGAGGAAAGGAAAGAGAAAACAACAGCTTCTGAGAATGACGTTCTCAACTCATGACTCGTGAAACTGGGAAAGCAGAAACAAAACAGGTAGGAGCAACTAAACCATTATTGCCCTTGAGTATTTAAAATTAACCTTGATAGATGCAAGTGAATTATCTTCTAGAAGTGAGTCACAGAATTATTCATGCTAAAAAGGGAATACACCTCAGAGGTCACTCAGTCCAACCTCCTACCCATGGGGAAATCATCTCTTCAATAAGCCTCTGCTTGAGCTACAAGCATTGGAAGCCCTGGAAATGGAGCCATAGAATCCCAGATTCCTACAAGTAGGTCTGGGATCATGAAGACACTGATGTCCAGAAGATTTAAGTGGATAAATGGTTATTCGTGGAGCTGAGATCAGACTCATAGGACAACGCTCCATTCACTATACTCTTTTGTGAAATTAAAAATATTTGTCTCTCTGCTTAACTGAAATCTGCTTCCCAGTAACTTCCAAATTGTCCTCTCTGGAATAATGAAAGTGATAAAAATACCCATTTAACTTCTTAAGTTAAATAGCAACATATTACTTATTTGACAATCTATACCCTTTGAGAGATAGCCAAGAACCAGAAAATAGGCTGAAATCTTTGGAACAACCAAAATAGATGTTGATATCCATGCCCTTTATTCATGTGGCAGATCCTCACAGTTCACTCAGACGGTGGGCTCTGAATTTATACATAATTCTCACAAGCTTGACTGTCTTCTCAGCCCACAGATGATTAAAAACAAAAATTAAATGAGGGCACGAAGCTCTGTTAGATGGAGGTGTATTAATAGGTGTCACTTAAAAACAAAAACCCACTAACAGCAGATACTCTGGTGCCCAAAACACACAGAAATCTGGTGCTTCTTATTTTCAGGACCAACGGTTTTATATCTCAGTAGCCTGAAGAAATTCTGCGCCATGAAAATAACGCTAATACATGTGGAAATTACAGAATCTAATTATAAATATTTTTCAGGGATAAAGAGCTTGAAAAGCTTCAATTATGTGGAAAATTACCCATGTACAATTTATTTTGTAAGAATATTTTTTTGTAAAGATAACATTTCCCAATTAAGCTTGACAGTGTTTATGAGGCCCACAAGGAGGAAAATATATTTTTAAACTATTTCCAACATACGTAAGTAAGTTAAGAAAAATTAAACTCTTAATACTTAGAACTCCAGTAAAGATTCAGTTTTTAAAAACTCTCTGTGTTAGCTGTATTAAGAAGTAAGGCTCTGTCCTCCTCCTGACCTATATCTGAGCAACAGCAATCAAAGTTTTCAGACGTGGCCAACATTATGCTTCTGAAGTTGTGTATCTCAAAACACTGTCTTTGAATTTCCAAATTAAGCTTGTGTTCAGAAGAAATAATGAGTTAGTATAAGACTGTCTAAATTGCCCATCTGCTTTCCCACCAGGCAATCTTGATTTTTAGAAATAGTCCATCTCAAAACAAGTTCCAAGTTGTAAACCTCATTTCAACAGATGTTTTGTGCAATGGGTAGCAACTATTTTCATATGTTTCATAAGGCGAAACAAGCTGGCTTATGACGTTAATTTGCATGTACCTTTGCATTCTTCTTTATGCGTTTGGAGTTGGACCTGCCGCGTCTCTAGGGCATTTAGGTTTCACATGGAAGCAACTAAAACAATGGCCACTGTTTCCCCTGCTGTTGCCATCTGTGACGTAAGATGAGACCAATTGTCTTGGATACATTTTCTTTGAAGGAAGCTGAGATAAAACAACTTTCTAAATGACTATGCACTAAAGCTTTCAGGCAAAGGCCCTGCAATTAATTGGCTGCTGAAAATCAAAACCATGATATTGAGCTGTAATAATGTTAGGTATCAATAAGCGCTGACGTTTATGGATTGTGGACTTCATAACACTGTAATATAATGTGTTACTCAATGTTCTATAGAATTGTGCATTACAAATATTAAAGTTCATTGAAATCCATAGACTAGAAGAAAATAATTCACAACACACATATCTGTCAAAGTTCTTGTATCCAAAATATATAAAGAAAAGAAATCCTACAACTCAGTAACAAAAGGACAAGTGACCTAATTTGAAAAAGGGCAAAAGACTTAGATACTTCACAAAGAAGATATACAATGGCTAATCAGCCCAACAAATTAAAATCACAGTGAGATACTCCGTCGTGTAGAGAAAATGAAAAAGACTGACATCACCAAATGCTGGGGTTGTGGATACCTGAAACTCCCACACATTGCTGCTAGGAGTGTGAAATGCTACAAACTCTACGGAAAACTGCTTGCAGTTTCTTAAAAAGTTAGAATTACAACTCTACTATGATCTAATATCTCTGCTCCTAGATATTTCTCCTAGGTTAAACAAAAACACAGGTCCACACACAGACCTATACACAGATGTTCATAGCAGCTTTCTCCCTAACAACCCAAAACTGTAAATATTAGGTTGGCCAAAAAAGTTTGTTCGGGTTTTTCCATAAGATTATGGAAAATCATCTTGGCCAACCCAATAATTTAGATGTCCAATAATAGGAGAAAAGATAATCAAATTGTGGAATGTTCTTACAAAAAAATGTGACTCAACCATGAAAAGGGCATCCCATTGATAAATACAGCATAAAGTACTACGCTCAAGGAAACACACACAGACACACACAAAAGTATATACTGTATAACTCAATTCTAGAACAGCCTAAACTAACCCACCAGTGATAGAAATCAGATCAGTGGTTGCTCCTTGTGGTGGCGAAGGTAGAAGTGGGGAGGAGCTGGGAAGTAGCGCCAGGGAACTTTCTGGCGTTATAGCAGTTCCGTGTTTCGATGTGCATTTGTCAAACCGGTTCGACAGTACACTTAAGATCTGAACGTTGTATGATATGTTAATTACTCATCAATAACAAAGAATTAAAAAACTACAACAAGAGGGCTTCCCTGGTGGCGCAGTGGTTGAGAGTCCGCCTGCTGATGCAGGGGACACGGGTTCGTGCCCCGGTCCGGGAAGATCCCACATGCCGCGGAGCGGCTGGGCCCGTGAGCCATGGCCGCTGAGTCTGCGCGTCCGGTGCCTGTGCTCCGCAACGGGAGAGGCCACAACAGTGAGAGGCCCGCGTACCGAAAAAAGAAAAAAAAAAAACTACAACAAGAACGAAAACAATGGGGCTTATAAAATAAATAGGGTTAGGAAGAGACCACTAAAAATGTATATGCAACATTGTAACCAGAGCGCTAACAAGCACAATTAGTAGTAGTACTTAAAAAGATAACATGGATCACTGAGACATGCAACTTAAAATGGCTAAAGGCTGACTCCCAGGATCCTAGAAATGCACAAAAACAATGGAGTGGAAATGCTGGTGACACTTTAAATGGCACAGTGCTGGTGGGGTGCTGAGAAAATGCAGATGGAAGTGGAACTCTGAGGCAGTGGGGCTGCTACAGCAACGCAGGCAGGAATACAACCTGCCGCAAAACGGAGCTCTGCTGGGCTGGGATGGCACGTCTCTGGGAGGGAGGCCCAGGTGCAGACCCTTGTTTTTAATTTTCTTAAAATAAAGGTGAAAGTCTCCTGCTGCCTATTAGCAGCCAAGCTGAGGGCTTTTTCTTCTCCTGCTGAAGGTAATAGTTGTATTCCTGCCAATCCAGGTCCTATACCCAGGAAAACTGTGAATGAAATGCCCATATTATCCTTACACGTCTTCACCCATTTGTCAATCGTGAAAGAGACAGTTTACGTGATAGAAACATACTCTAGTAGAATAGACTGTACCCAGTATGGCCAAGCATTAGCCACCATTTGCATTTGTTACGTTATTTGTAAATTAACAACTCTGGCATTTTCTGGAAGAAGATACTGAGGCTCAGAGAGGGAAAGAGATTTGCCCAACTTTATCAAAGTCTTTTGTAGACTTAGAATCTAGGTTTGTTTAACCTCAAATCCCATGCTCTTTATCTTTGTGCAATGCTTTCTCCTAGATTATTTCATCCATACCTGCCTCTTTCATTTGGGAAAACGTAGGCCCCCATCCCATCAGAGCTGTCCAGCAAGCTGTATTCGACTTTGGTTCTCTCCTTGGTGCTCACCCCAACACCTGTGTTTAAGTGTCTCCATCACCTGAATCCCCCTTCCTGTCTCATTTCCGTCTTGTGTACTGACTGCTCAGGACATGTGGCTCTCATCTTGCATTCATCCTCAAAGCCGTAGGCTGTTATCTGCCCCATACATCATGCCCTCCACGCTAAGAATAGCAAGCTAGAAGAGAGTTTCCAGTGAGTTCATCTAGGTGAAAGCCTCCTCTAAACTATAAAGTTCATATCAGATACTACGTTCAAATAAGGAATTATAATATACAGGAGCTTCTCAGGCTCTCTCCCCAAAGAAATATTTATGGTTTCTAAAGGAAATACTTACGGTTTCACTCATTGTCTGTTGAATGAGCAAGTGAATGAAGATTTTATGTAGATAAGGGCAAAAAAGGATGAATACTAAAGGGGTGATAGCTTGGATTAGATCATTTAGTCTCTGTTTCCTGCACATTGGATTCACCCTAATATGTTGCATGCATACCCTAGATCTAAGAAGCTTTATTCCTTTTTAAAGCAAACATTCATTTACATATGCACTGTTGCCTTTGTTAAGATACTTAGAAACATATGAAGAAGTAGAAGAAAGAAAATATATGTTACCACTCAAGAAATTTAGTAGTTCTAATGGTGCATTTCAGGGGGGCAAGCATGCATACTAATTACCTCATAAATCTGTTCAGTCCTGCTGGCAACTGAAAACTTGAACAATATTATTTATTCAACATTAAATTCAGGTATCTCATCAGATGTCATAAGCGACTTCCTACTTCCAGCTTGTGAACATTGTCATTGACCTAAACATTTGGACACAGCAATTGCATCCTCACACAATTTGCTAATGACCCTGTCTTAGATGCAGCAGAAAGCAATTGCCATACACTTAATGAATTTATGAAGCTAACTGGAAAGCTTCACAAGAACTAGATGGATTTAAACAGTTTTGCTGTCTGACTCAGAATTCAAGCAGTATGTGATGGCAGTGGTCATGGTGGAATGTGTGAGGATGTGTTTGTGTTGCAACTGTCCTACCTTGTTGACGTTCGTTCACAGTCTATCTGGAAAATCTGCTCTATAGACTTTTTGAAAATATGTGCTACCCAAATTTCCCTCTTCTTATAAAGGTTGATTTTTTTTTTTTTCTTTTTTTTTTTTTGCAGTACATGGGCCTCTACCGTTGCGGAGCACAGGCTCCGGACGCGCAGGCTCAGTGGCCATGGCTTATGGGCCCAGCCGCTCCGCGGCATGTGGGATCTTCCCGGACCGGGGCACGAACCCGCGTCTTCTGCATCGGCAGGCGGACTCTCAACCACTGTGCCACCAGGGAAGCCCTAAAGGTTGATTTTTAAGGGCATTATTGGAAAGATCTTCGTAAGCAAAGGGTCTTAAGAGCAAAATGTTGATAGGTATGCCTTCTTTGGACAGCAAAAGATACTAACAAGTAAAGGAGCTAATAAAGCCTGGCAGACTGTGAGCAATTCAAGACAGAAAGGAAGCATCCACCCTACTTTATCCAGCCAGAAAAAAATACATGCATTCAACATAGGGCAGCTTTCATATTCTATTTTAAATGATATTTGGACCAGTTATCCCCTGAGGATAGACTGGGAAGACACTAGCAAGTTCATAATATTGAGAACGTATATTTTGGAATAAGTTACAAAAGCTGACTTTTCCAAGAAGGTACTACAAGCCATAGTAGGTTGGAGGAGGGGATAAATTCTTTGTTTTATAAAACTATGGGGTATAATATTGATTTAAGCAAAGGATAAAAATAACTGGATCAAAAGATTAGACCTCTAAGCACAGTGTCTAAAGCAAACACACCATAAACCAAATTTGGAATGCCTTAATGAAGGCATGTTCATGGCTCAAAATTAACAACTCTAATCACAAGGGGACATTCTCCAATGCCCTCTGAGCAATACAAAAAAATAACATAAAGATTATGTAACTTAAAGCATGCTTTACATTGTCTGACAGAGTTAAGCAGGGTAAAATGACACTTACTGTTATTGAAAATGATCAAGTTCTACAAGGCTTAGAAATAATAATAATAATAAAGTGTTGAATAACCACTGCTATCTTAGAACTAGCCAATTCCTTTAAACTCTTAAAGAGCTTTCTCAGATAACAGTAGAAAGGGTACAATAAATCCAAAACAAACACAAGTCTGAAATTTTCCATCACTAGCTTACCTTAAGCTTCTATTTAGTTATTACCCAAACCAATAACTTTCTATAAAAAGAACCTTTATACTGCTAGAACGAGAAGCCGGCTGGACAAAAGCAGTTGTCTGAGAAATGGTCACATACATAAGCTTCATTTTTGCTGAACCATGTTTCTAGAATAAAATAAGCTTAAAAATAATCTGACCTCTGTAATTTGACAATTGTCTTCTCACCTCAGTCCTCAGTAAAGGCTTATCTACTTTTAGGTAAAATGGCAAATGTTCTAGTTTTTAAAGTAAAATATATAGGTGAAGAACACAAAATTTTAAAAGAATTTTCACACATGTATAATATTTTGATACACATTGAATTCATAAGTATTTTGCTCAACTCTAAAATTACTGCTTAAAAGAAAATAGAGAGGCAGGGCCTCTTCTACCATATGATGGGTACAAACCAGCTAATAAAGTCAGAGTAGAATATGTAAACAATTTGCAAGTTCAACTATCTCATGCATACAAGATTGTTTTTCCATGTTTACTTTTATAGATACTGAGAGGTTTTGTTTAATTTTTAAAGAAATAACAGTCATGGAAAAATCCAGCTTGTAATAGACAACCAAAAGGGAAAGTTAATGGTTAAATCCATCCACCTAGCCACTAGGCAGATCTCTCTGGAAGCCCATAACACTGCTTCTGGAGCCATTTCATCATCATGAATTCAGTAATAAGATAGCAGCTGGAATCTAGAAAAATGGCTGTAGTCCTTCTGCCCCACCTCAGAGTGGACTGAATTCAGACATAACAAATACTTGCTACTCACTTTTCGGTTTTCTTGTCTTCTGCTCAAGTGTCTGGCAAGTGTTCACTAACTCAGTATTTATAGTCTGGAGATTTCGTTGATCCGAAATTGCTTCCTCTAATTTACGCAGCAAAGGCTTAGCTTTTTCCCTGGCAGAGTGGGCTGCCTGATCTCCATCCTCCACCTGGATACCGACAGTTAATGCTGGATTTTAGCAGGGTGGCCGGGAAAGAAAGCAATTGAGCACTCACTCTTATGCACACGAAACTGAAAACGTGCTTTTCTTCTCAGGGAAGTGATAAGCCTCCACTGAACTTCTGCAATTCTGTGTTTGCATGGGCTTCGTATGCCTGAGCTATTTCTACAGCGGCAAAAGTCTTGGTATGTCAAGTCGCCTCTTTCTGCAAAGTTGCCTCTTTCATCAGCAGGCTGTTGACACCGCCTCTTACAGCTCCCCCTTTACTTCCTCCGCTCACTGCTAGTCGAGAGGGACTGAACTTCGCAGTTCCTCTTTGTTTTTTTGGTTCCTCCTCCATTTTTACTTCAGGGTTTTAAGGACATCTGAGGAGACTTCCTGCGCATATAATGTAGTCAAAGGCCACCCTACCTGCTCCGCTGCCCCCTCCAACCATTGGCTGGCTTCTTGGACCTTCTTCCTGAGGATGGCTTCCTGGTTGACAGCATCCTCTTGCAGTTGTGTGATGGCTTCTAGTTGTTTCTGCCTAGTTAAAAAAAAGTCCAAACCACAAGCTGTCAGTGACATTTCAACAAAGAGTCACCCCCTGGGAAGTTATGACAAATTCAAACTTAATATACTTCCTCAGAGATGAGAGGAAAAAGTAAAAGTATTTACAATATAGATAAATGCTTCACAAATACAGAATTTTAATTAAAGCAATCGTATTGATCACTTAGTCTGATAACCTCTCTTTACAGATAAGAACATTTAGTTTCCTATTCTACACTGGAATATTCAGTTCCCCACAAGCTACATTAATAGTACTTAGCTACGTTGGCACTACAATAAGGTCACTGTGACAGGTGCCATATTTACATAGCACAGCTAGCTTTTTCAAAAAGAGAAAAAAAAAGAAAGGAAAGGAAAAGCGAAGAAGGGAAAAGAAAAAAGAGAGAAAAAAAGAAATAAGTGCTTTGTTTCATGACCTTAGCCTTTCTCCTTAAGAATTGTCAGTCGTGGTGTGACTATGTGCCATGAGCACAGGAAGGGCTGCTCCCAAGAACAGACAGAAGTTAGCTGTTAGTATTTCCACTGCAGTCCTCTCTTTTCTAAAGCCTTTCCCCTCCCTTTCTTCCTCACCCCAAATCTCTTAGTGTTGTTATGTTACTTCTCTTTTGGATCCAACCCTAATCCCCCAAATATATAAAAATGCATCTGTTAGCTGATGAGATTATTTAAACCATGCTATGTATCAGTATATCAATGGCTATCTGGAAACAACGTGACCTGAATAAGGACCTTAGCTCAAATGAATGAGAACCTTTGGGAGTTTCAAAGCAGTGAGGAAGACATTGTCAGGTTTAGGCCTTGTGCATACCTCTCAAATGTTAATACATAGTCAGAATCCCATTGTACATTGACATAAATCCAGCCCTGATTACAAGAAGGACCATATGAGAGACAAAGATGGTTTCAGAGAATGCTTCACCACTATGGTAAGCCAACAAACAAAACCCTAACCAAAAATAAAAACAACCTAACAACCTAAACACACATTCTACTGAGCATTGTCCAACAGCATGTAGTCAGTTTTTTCTTTTTTTTTTTTTAATTGTGGTTAAGAACATTTAACATGAGATCTACCCTCTTAGCACTTTAAAGTGCACCATACAGTACTGTTAACTATAGGCTCAGTGTTGTACAGCAGATCTCTAGAACTTATTCATCTTGTGTAACTGAAACTTTATACCCGTTGAATTACAACCATCCATTTGCCCTTCCCAAGCCCCTGGAAACCACCATTCTACTCCCTGCTTCTGTAAGTTTGACTACTTTAAATACCTCATGTAATCGGAATCATGCAGTATTTGTCCTTCTCTGACTGGTTTATTTCACTTATCATAATATCCTCAAGATTCATCCATGTTATCACATGTGGCAAAATTTCCTTCTTTATCGAAAAGCTTTCAAAAACTTTTTTTAAAAAAAGCTGAATAATATTTAATTGTATGTATATACCATATTTTCTTTATTCATCCTTAATGAACATTTAGATTGTTTCCACATCTCGGCTATTATGACTAATGCTGCAATGAACCTGAGTGTGCAAATATCTTTTCGAGATTTTACTTTGAATTCTTTTGGATATATACCCAGAAGTGGGATTGCTGGATCATATGGTAGTTCTATTTTTAATTTTTTGAGAACCTCCAAACTGTTTTCCATAGCAGTTGCACCATTTTACATTCCTACCAACAGTATACAAGGGTTTCAATTTTTCTACACCCTTGCCAACACTTGGTATCTTTTGGGTTTTTTTTTTTTTTATAATAGCCTTCCTAACAGGTGTGATTCATTCATCATTGTGAATGACTCATTGTGGTTTTTAATTGCACTTCCCTGATGACTAGTGCTGTGGAACATCTTTTCACGTACTTGTTGGCCAATTTTATATCTTCTTTGGAAAAATGTCTATTCTTTTGCCCATTTTTAAATTGGCTTTTTTTATTGAGTTGTAGAAGTTCCTTCTATATTTTGAATATTAACCTCTTTTCAGATATATGGTTTGCAAATATTTTCCCCCATTCAATAGGTTACCTTTTCACTCTGTTAAATCTTTTGCTGTGTGCTTTTTAGTCTGATGTAGAACTACGTGCATATTTTTTCTTCTGTTGCTTGTGCCTTTGGTTTCATATCCAAGAAAATATTGCCAAGACCAATGTCATGAAGCTTTTCCCCTAAGTTTTCTTCTAGGAGTTTTACAGTTTTAAACCTTATGTTTTAGTCTTCAATCCATTTTGAGTTGATTTTTGTATATGGTGTATGATAGGGTTCATCTTTATTCTTTTGCATGTGGATATCCAGTTTTCCCAGTATCATTTGTTGAAAAGACTATCCACTCTCCATTGTGTATTCTTGGCACCCTACTTGAAGATCAGTTGACCATACATGTGAGGGTTTATTTCTGGACACTCTATTCTATTCCATTGGTCTGTAGCTTTGTAATATATTTTGAAATCAAAACGTGTGATACCTCCAGCTTTGTTCTTCTTTCTCAAGATTGTTTTGGTCCTTTGTAGTTCCACATGAATATTAGGATTGTTCTTTTCTATTACTGTAAAAAAATGTCATTTGAATTTTGGTAGAGATTGCATTGAATCTGTAGATTGTTTCGGGTAGTACAGACATGTTAACAACATTAAATCTTCCAATCCATAAACACAAGATGTCTTTCCATTAGTTTGCATCTTCTTTAATTTATTTCAGTGTTGTTTTATAGTTTTAAGTATGCAAGTCATTATCTCCTTAAAGTTTATTCTTATTTTATTCTTTGGATACTATTTTAAATAGGATTGTTTTCTCAGTTTCCTTTTCAGAAAGTTTATTATTAGTGTATAGAAATGCAACTGATTTTTGTATGTTGCCACTTTGCCGAATTTGTTTATTAGTTCTAACTGCTTTTTGTGGAGTCTTTCTATATACGGATCACGTCATCTCCAAACAGAGATGATTTTACTACTTCCTTTCCGATGTGGATGCCTTTTATTTCTTTTCCTTGCCTAATTGCTCAGGTTAGTACTTTCAGTACTACGTTGCATAGAAGTGGTGAGAGCAAACATGCTTGAGCTGTTTCTGATCTTAGAGCAAAAGCTTTCGGTCTTTCATCATTGAGTATGATGTTAGCTGTGGGCTTTTCACATACGATCTTTATTATGTTGAGGTAGTTTCCTTCTATTTCTAGTTTTTTGAATATTTTTATCATGAAAGGTGTTGAATCTTATCAAAAGCTTTTCTGCATCAATTTAGATGATAATGTGCTATTTATCCATCATTTTGTTAATGTGGTGTATCATATTAATTGATTTTCATATGTTGAACCATCTTGCATCCCAGAGATAAATCTCACTTGGTCATGGAGTATCAACTTTTTAATGGGCTGTTTAAAATGGTTTACTAGTATTTTGCTGAGGATTTTGTATCTATATTCATCAAGGATGAATAGTTTTCTTGTAATGTCTTTGGTTCTGGTGTCAGAATAATGCTGCCCTCATAAAATGAACCAGGAAATGATCCCTCATCTTCAATTTTTTGAAACTGTTTCAGAAGGACTGACATTAATTTTCTTTTAATGTTTGGTGATTCACCAGTAAAGTCATCTGGTCCTGGCTTTTTATTGATTGGGAGTTTTTTGAATACTGCTTCAACCTCTTTACTAGTTATTAGTCTGTTCGGATTTTATGTTTCTTCCTGGTTCGGTCTTGATAGGTTGTACGTTTCTAGGAATTTATCCATTTCTTCAAAGTTTTCCAATTTATTGCTGTATAATTGTTCACAGCAGTCTCTTATGTCCCATTTTCCCCCTGGTGGCATCAATTTTAATGTCTCTTCCTTCACTTCTCATTTGAGTTTTCTCTTTTCCTTAGCCTAGCAAAAGATTTTCAATTATGTTTATCTTTTCAAAAACAAACAAATCAAGTCTCATTGATTTTTTTAAAATGTTTTTATATTATCTATTTTGTTTATTTCTGCTCTAATCTTTACTATTTCCTTCCTTGTGCTTACTTTGGACTTAGTTTTTTCTTTTCTTTTTATAGTTCCTTGAGGTGTAAAGTTAGGTTGTTTGAGATCTTTCTTCTTCTTCTTCTTCTTTTCTTTTTTTTGGCTGTGCTGTGCAGCTTGCAAGATCTCAGTTACCCAACCAGGGATTGAACCTGGGCCATGGCAGTGAAAGCCCAGGATCCTAACCACTAGGTCACCAGGGAACTCCCAAGATCTTTCTTCTTTTTAATGTAGGTATTTATCATTACTAACATCCCTCTTAGTACTGCTTTTTTTTTTTTTGCTGTATGTGGGCCTCTCACTGTTGTGGCCTCTCCCGTTGCGGAGCACAGGCTCCGGACGCGCAGGCCCAGCAGCCATGGCTCACGGGCCTAGCCGCTCCACGGCATGTGGGATCCTCCCGGACTGGGGCACTAACCCATGTCACCTGCATCGACAGGCGGACTCTCAACCACTGCGCCACC